TGTACTGGCAGACAAGTAGGTCTTGTGGGAAAAGGAAGGAAGTAGCTTCTAGTCTGTTTCCAAGAATTCATTGAAGAAAACCAATTTCTCCCTTTGGCTTTTTCAGAACAGTCAGAATCCAAAACAGGGAGGAAAGGAGCAATATCTGATTTAAATGGTACTTCAGAAAAATGCCAGTTTACTCTGTTACCAGTGTGCCTTGTCTGTGGTCTTTTCCAGCAGACTCCATGTGAAAAAAGAACACATCCATTGTCTCTTACTCCATCAGGAGCACCAGACAGGATCTTTCTGTGCCTCCTGGGTGAGGCACATGGAGCTGCAGGGTTGTTGTATTAAACACTTCTTAGGCTTTTCTTAGCCTGGAGTTTTAGAGAATCCAAGCTCTTAGGGGTTGCCATGTTTTCTGTGTCTCTCACCTTATCTTTGAAGCACAGTCAGATCTCTGTTCCTTTGTCTGCTTTGTCAGTATGCACATGCCTGATCAGCAAGAGCATCTCTGGATGATTAAGGAGAAAAATTCTGGTGTAAATATCTCTGCAGACACTTCATGATGAAAAGGAATTTGGCTGTTTTCAAGAATTGGCTGTTTCAACAGTAATGTTATGAGCAACTATAAAGAGATATTAGGATTGCCTCCTGATGATTTTTTTTCCTATATGTTAGAAATACATTTGAGAGATAGGATGGATGTATGAGGGAGCATCTGTGGTCTGTCATTGTTTCTGAATGAGAAACAATGCTTGCATTTTGAAAAGGGATTTTGTAGTAACTGATGCTTCTATTTAACCTTTTTGCTTTTCCCTGGGCCAAATCAGTACTTAGTATGTTCTCTGTGAATTTGTCTAATTATGGTCACATCTCTGAATGGTTTGACATCCCAGTGAAGGAAATATCAAGACCAGGAGGAAGAAGAGAAAGCAGTGTAACATGGAATGAACATAAGAACCATTTACCTGTCCTGTCAGGGTGTCATTTAACTGGAAAGGTTTTATTAAATATTGGATAAAAACAATGAAATATGATCAGTACTTCACAACTTTTGATTGAACAACTACATGTTCAATCCAGACCTTTGGGGCTTAGATGATCCTGCAGAGTGGTTTGCAGAGCTGTCTGTGATTGCAGCAGGGCAGATGGCAGCACTGGAATGCTCCTGCTCTGTTTCCACAGAACACAGAGAAATGAGCTGCTGTAACTGCTTGTGCTTCCCAGGAGCCATTCCTCTGAATTAATTTGTGATTTGCGTTTAGTGGTAGTTAAACTAATTAATCATAAGGATCTGGATGGATTCCATTCCCTCAGTGAAAGGAAGCTCTTCCCAAATCAACAATATTTCTCTATCATTTATTGCCTCCTGATCCCATATTCTTTCCCTGCCTCTTCGGTTTCTAGCAAAGTTAATTGGGAATTCTGTTTATATAAGGACTTAGGCAGTGAATCTATAAGGAGGAATAACTTTTACCACAGAATTTTGTTACTTTTTTCATCCATTCTGGGTTTGGCCCTGTTTTGCTTCCTGAGCTGGCTGAGAAGGGAGCTGACACTTCTGATACCAAGATTCCTTTAGAGATCATACCTTTAGGATCCCAGCTGTAGTTAGGGAAGCCTGGATCAAAGGGAAGTCTGTAGTCACCACTTTGCAGAACCATAGCAACAGGGCAATCAAGTGGTTTACTGGCTCTTGCCAGAATTCTGCTAATGGATGTGGAGGCTTGTAAGCAAGAAACACTTTGCTGTAAGGACTGGGAGGTGTTGGGTTGTCTGCCACACACAAGGGCTGCAAAAGCAGAGAGCTTTTGGCACCTTGACATGGTTTTGTAGAGACATCCTGTTGAATGTCAAGAGAGCTGTTTCAGCTCAGCTTACCACTAAGAATACAGAAAACCTGAGTGGTTCAGAGCTATTGAGGAGAGACTATTTTGGAGTTATTTGTCAGTCATGTATTTCCAAGGCCCAGTGACATTTATCAAAGAATTCAGGGAAACTCTATTAACCTAGCAGCTCTGTTAATGATGTGTGGATTTTTTGCTTTCCTCCCCCCCATAGTTTCAACATGCTCTTGCAATTGATTTATTATTCACGTGAGGCTGGAGCAGTGCTGGGAGAAAGGGTGTTATTAAAACCTAGCTCCAGAAGAAAAGTGTATTTTCTCTAATTAAAACAAACTGCACAGTGCTGCCAATGTCCCTGTTCCAACTGAGGTAGGTAAGGAGATTTCAAGGAAAAAAATTGCCTTCTTGCAAAGGTCATCCCCAAATTATGGAATGTGAAACAAAACCTGTCCCATTTTTCTTTTAAGGCTCAATTTTCTGTTCTGCATTCCTACCTGTAGACTAAATTAATTTTCCAAATGTTTATTTTTTGAAAACTGCTTCATTTACAGCAGAAGTGTACAGGTGGTCTGAGTGCTTAAAACACTTTCCTCATAAGAGGCTCCTCATGTAGACTGGTCATAGAGTTCATCTGGGGAGCCACCATCTGTGTTAGAAAACAGAGACATTTGAAATAAATCCTTTTTCTCTATACACTTTTAGGTGCTGAGGGTTTTTTAATACATTTCCCTGTGTATTTTAAAAATAAGTACGTTTTATAAGTTAGTGCAAGCAAAGAGTGATGAGTACAGTTCTTTTGAACAGAAATGAGTCTCATAATGCCATGACAGCTTAGAGATTGTGCATGTAGATGCTGTTGTTCCAGACCCCTGACAGTTTGTGGCACTTAAAGAAATTGGTACTTAAGCAGGATGCATATCTGAGTGTGTTTTCTTGGTTTGGGATTTGCTTGCTTGTGGGCTTTTAAAGCAATTTTTCCATACACATTGACCTAGAAGGGATTTTCATATTGGGAAGTGCCAGAAAGCAAAGCCAGATTGATTCAAAAGCTATTAACCTTTTGAAAACTTGGTCCTAGAGGATGGCAGGGAAGACAGCTTAATATTTGAAACAAATCACTGGGTTTGCGCTTTCTCAAATCAGTTCAGCACAGATACTAATACCAGGTTAAAATATGCTCAGAGGAAAGGAGGGTTCACTTGGTGCACATGTAAAGGCAGGCAGTGTAATGTCAGACTTTGAAGATTTGAGAGTTTTGTGAGTGTAATTCATGTTGTAAAAATCCTGAAGCAACATGTTACTAGGAAAGCATGAGTGGAAAAGACAAAACATGACTTTGAAAGGATGCATGCCATAGAGGAAGTATTGAAGCATCTGATCTTGAATCATTTTAAATTGCCTCGATAGTCCTAGAATAAAAATAAAATAAAAGAGTGCTTCTTATCTTAGGGTGACAGAGCATGGGTTCCATCTCCCCAAAATCTCAGGTGTTTTGCACATTAGCTTCCTGCTTAATTTCTTGCCACAGGTTTCACACAGAAATGAGACCAATCCCTAGGTAGTTGGAAAGACCTTTTTTGCTGAACTTTTCCCATGTAGTCTTTTGCAAAGATAGCACAGATGTAAAATCCTTGCTTCTGCAGCTTCTTTGTAAGGAGTTCTCTAGTTCCAGCCATGTCAGTGAGAGGATCCACAAAGCAGCCAACAGTGCTCCCAGAAAATAAAGGATCAGCAAATGAAACCAAGGCAAATCCTTGATTTCCTCTTCTTCACTATCCTCTCAAATAACTGCTTACATTCAATCTCAGAGGTACACACTGCCTATAAATTCAAGGAATGCTTCCTGTAACAGAAAGGAAAACACTGGGCTATACAGAAAAAAATTTAGCAAGTATGTGAGAGAATTGTTTTGCAAACCCTTCTTCTCATTTGATGGAACAAGCAGGATCTGTGTTGCTGATGAGAAGTGCCTTAGCTTGTCTCACAAAATAGTCAGTTTTTTTATTTTATTTGTTCATTCATTTATTTATTTATTCAGGAGACTGAACAGGAATTAATTCATAAAATGCTTGCTCTAGAATCTGCTTGCTGGCTTTTTTATTAGATAAAATGGGTTGTTACACACTCTTGCCTTGGTATTTCAACATTTACTAATGATATAGATTTTAAAAGCTAAAGAATAGGAATAATTCAGGCAATGGTAATGCAAGCCCTGGCAAAACAGTACATTAGCTTATTCCTTAGTAATTTTAATTCACATCTTCAAACTGTAATCATAGTGAACATAGCATTTGGCAGATTGAGCATGTCAGTGCTTCAATTCCTTGATGATAAAAAGGTGCTCCATTCTGAATAGGTTATAATTACTCTTCCTTCAGTTAAAACTCTGCTCATCTGGGAGGAAAGAGCTGAGGATTTTCACTGTGCTTTGCAAGTCTTCCCTCTGCTTCACCTCCCCCACTTGAGATGGAGAAGCCTTGGCTTGGTGTGGTTTTGAAAGATGAAACTTCTTCCAGTGTCCTGGATGAAATACATTAATTGTGGAGCAGCACACAAAATGATTGCAGGATTTTAAATAGTACTGCAGGATTTTAATTAGTAATGTAGGATTTTAAAAGTAAGCATTACCAAATGCATATTAATGCTTTTACCAAATGGAGTAAGTATGAATTTTTTTAATGAGCTCTCAGTATAAAGCTGATATGGGAGAAGGAAGTGTCTAGAAAGCATCTTGCTAGGGTGGAGACTAAAAGGTGTGCCAGCTTATGGTGTGGTGGGTGCTGTGCCTGTTTTTCTGAAGAATCATTTCCACATATTAAGAATGGGAAGAAGCATCAAAACCTTCTGAGAAGTGGAGGGAGAGAAATAACTATTCCAGACAGAGTGGGAATATGTAGCCAGGCCTTGGCTGCTGATGTATGGCTCCACAGAAAGATGTGTATTTCTTCTTATAGTCTAGGGAGTGAAAAACCAAGGATTACTGTGATTCCCTTTTTGTCTGGAGAACCACAAGGCTGACCTAAGGAAAGGCACATGTGCAGCTTCTCTGCCAAGGCTTTCCTGCTGCCCCTCAGTGCCTCCCCATCTCCCATGCTAAATGCTGCTCTCCCACAACTGGCACGGGCACCAGCACGTTTGTAGATTAAATACCTGCTCTTCCTCTCACAGGTGGATTTGCTGAGTTCTCCAGCTCTTTCCCTGGTCTCTGTGAAGGAAAATCCACACTCATCCCTACTTGCATTTCTCAACCCTGCCTACCTGTTTCCAACACTGGCCCAACCAGAATCCTGCCTCATCTCTACCTTGGGTGTCAGCGAGATGTCCTCAACAAGGTGAGCATGCTGGGTACGATGTTGTCACTATAGGACACAAAATAACATGACATGGACACGCAGCTCTCCCAAGGTAAAAAAAGTACTTTTAATTTTGGACTCCAACATTTATAGATTTCCAAAAGTGACAGTGGATTGGAGAGTCACCTCTCCAATGACACTGGACAAACCAACAGTCCATCAAATTTCTCCTCCTCCATAAAAGAATTCAAAACAATAAGTTATTTACATAAAGTGTGTGAGAAAGTTTGTTACAAGAATGTAAACAACAGAAGGCTTAGAAAAACTTAAAAAATCAGAGCAACACCACGTGGGTCACTGGATGTCCTCAGTGAGATGTCCTCAACAAGGTGAGCATTCTGGGTGCCACATGGGTCACTGGAAGGAGTATCTGATCTCCAGGGATCTTCCATCACGGGGCATCATTACAGCTGTGAAACAGCAGCAGTGGAGGCAGGTAATGCACAAGCCATGGAAAGCTGTGGGAGAAGCAGTGATTCACACACCATGTAATTAATCTATGGGTCATGTCATGAAACTTGGGTGTCTTTCTCCTTCATGCTGGGGCAGATGGAATGGTACATTCCTCAGGAACCTGTCAACCCTACTGTCACATCTGCCATGACAGCAGGTCAAGTGCATTCCTGTCACAGCTCTGACCTTTGTTTTGGCAGGTCTTGGAGGTTGACACAATTATATTCATGGTTACAGCAGGACAAAGGAAGATTGTCTGGTTTTAGTATTTCCTTCAAGTGCTAGGAAAAAACAGCGTTTAAACTCCCTAAGAGTTCTAAGAAAAGTTTGCTCATTTTGGGTCTCAGTGGTTATTTTCATTTAACATTATGGTAATTTTCCTCTGATAGACTGGTGGCTTTGCAAGACAGTATTTAATTTCACAGATCTTCCTTGCTCTTTGTGAAAGAGAGGAAAATTGGATTCTAACCTACATAGGAGTGACAGTGTCCTTTCTGAAAGTTAGTGTGACAGAGAGCAATCTGTAGTGTGGTTATGGCCCTGAAGGAGCTTCCTACTTACACTTCATGGCTTGTGCTAGCATTTAAAATGTATAACTTTCTGCCTTCCCACTTGCATAACTATTCTTTTCTTCCAGACCTGGATTTTATTTCCTGGAACAAAATAACATTTTAAGGTGCTATTAATTTTCAGATTAAACAAGTCATAAAATGTAAATAAGCTTACAAAAGAGCATTTACCTTCTTTTCACAGAGTTGTTAGTATTAAGATTTCTGGATCTTCCTCCCATCGTAATTCACTTTTTCCTCTTGGGTGCCTTACAATGAAGGCACTGTTATGGTTATTACACTGGAGCATGTCACAGTGGGAATGATTGATTCTTCAGAACAGAAGGAAGCACAACTTCTTTCTTTAGCCTCAACCTGAAAGACAAGCACTAATATTTTGGGGTGGTTTTCTTGGCTTGCAGATTTCGGACTTTGGCATCTGCAGCCTTCTTGTTCCATATGAATAATCAGTCCTACATCAAAAACCTGGCATAACTGTGATGGCTGGACCGTGCAGCCCATCAATGGTTATGTTTTAAAAGAAATAATAAGGTTTTCTATTCTTCCCAATTCATCACCCCCCCCTTAGCTATGTTCTTAACAAACCTGACCATGGCAGTCCATTTGTCCACGCTGCGCCATGAGTGTGGGGTACCAGAGCTCAACATCACAGGTTAGACTGCTCTGACTGAACAGGACAGAGTTCTGGCTCTTCTGCTCAATAAGCATCTCCCTGTTTCTCCTCACTAAAAGATGTCTATGCTTCCAGCAAGAATATGGGGAAAAATCAATCATTTGGCTCTGTGACTTTGTATTCCAGTTGAAATCAGCAGTGTAAGAATTTGTTCATGCTGTTGCTCCTATGGATTGACAAACTTTATTATATATCTGCTATGAAAGAAAAAGGATTAAAACCAGATTTTGGGTTGTTTTCTTTTTCTTAATGTTTATTTTGAGATAAGAGCTTCCATAGAAATCTGGCCAGAAGCTCCCCAGTGTTTATGTTCAGTGTAAGTAGTGTCCAAGCCATGTTGCATGTCACTTACTGCCAGATCCTCTCTGAACCAGGGCAGTTTGATAAGCATTAGTCCAACATGCTAAAGTGCTTTTCTGTGTCAAGATGCTTCCTTGGAGGAGACTGGATGGCTTGTGGTGGAGCCATCTCTACTTTTCCAGTACTTCTTCCATATTTTCTTCCAGTACTACTTCTTTTTGTACTAAGCTGCCCACTGCATCCCAAACTACTTTGCACAACTCTGAATACCATGCATATGGAGAGATGCAGAAAAGAGGTACCTCTCTTTTATTTCAGTCATGAAAACTGACTTACTTAAAAGCCCAGTTGACTTTTAAATGTACACTGAGAGTCTTTGCTTGTTCCTGTGACATTTCTGTGAGAGGCAAGAGGCCTAGAGACTAAAAACTGAAATTGTACATCACAGAGCAGGACTCCTAAAAAATGCCACTCAGTGCTGTCTGGAAATGGTTTAATTAAAGATCTTAATCTCTTTCCTTGAGGTTTTGAGAGAGTTTTGCACATTCCCTTAGAAATCCTGGACTTGAGAGGTGACTGGAGGAGGCATCCATTTCATTTCCTATTTCCCACCAATATCTGTGATGGGGCAATTTCAGTCCCAGATATGTGATCTGGAAAACACATATTCAGGTCAGCAAACTGCATGTGGGAAGTGTCTGTTGTCAGTTTGCATGCTGAGAATTTAAACCAAAGTAGCAAAAAGTTCATTCTCTTGGAAGTGATGCTTCAGAGTAGCAGAAGGTATTCTACCATTACTTCTGTTCTTTGTTAACTTCATTTTTATGGGATTTGCAGGCCATATGTTACTTGGACACACTGGATGTCTCATTAGAGGTTGTTAGAAGAATTCAAAGCTGAGGAGTTCTCTTTTTCCTAGAAGAATGTTCCTTACACAGCTAGAGCAATTCCAACACAAATTTCAGTTTGGTCTTTAGCTTTGTAATGTGCCAAAGGTACCATTTGACTTTTCTAGGCTTAATCTTCCTCTCTTTCCTAGGAGCTGATGCAGCAGAATGACATTGGCTACGTCCTGAATGCCAGCAATACTTGCCCAAAGCCTGATTTTATTCCAGAATCCCATTTCCTCAGAGTGCCTGTGAATGACAGCTTTTGTGAGAAAATTTTGCCTTGGTTGGATAAATCAGTGGATTTTATAGGTGAGTAGAAAATTTTAATTCTCTCTCTCAAACAGTGCTTGAGTTTCTCTGTGTGTCTGCTGTGCTGTTTTGGCTGGAGAAGACCAGAGCTCTTTCTGGGCAGTGTGAAAATGCCCTCAGGATCTGTGGACATGATCAGCATCACTCCATAAGCACAGCAGCAAAAAGTGGGGAGATTGTGCCACTGCATGTTGCTGCTTTACAGAACAAAGACACTTCAGAGCTGCTGTCAGGCAGCCTCTCAGATGCCTGATGTATGTCTGCAGAGGGTGGGTCAGAAATTTGGACATACAACTTCTGCCTTTACCTTTGGGAAGTGCACTAGCCATGTCTGAACTGGACAGATTGTTCCATCATGAATGCTGGCTTTTTACTTGCATATAAAATTAGAAACAATCACCTTTCCCAGACATCTAAATAGGGCTGTTTATGTGCACATTAAAATGAGCTATGCTGTGACTGCAGGATATTTCCTGTGTGTAGTCATGCTTTTTCTATACTCAATGCTACTACACAGTGCTAGAGGAAATAAGTGAGTTTTGTTTCAAGCTTCCATGAGATTTGCAATTAGCAGTTCAATTAGAAGCTTTGAATAATTTTCAATAACACTGCTTTCTTTAAAAACTTTTTATCCTGGTATGATGCTGCTGAGTTTGACAGTTTCCAACTTCTTTTGCCATGCAGAAAAAGCAAAAGCATCCAATGGCCATGTGTTGGTGCACTGTTTAGCTGGGATATCTCGCTCTGCCACAATTGCCATTGCCTACATCATGAAAAGAATGGATATGTCCTTGGATGAAGCTTACAGGTAGGGACAAATCTTCCTTTCCTACTAACTCTTGTGCCTGTTGCCCTGTTTTTAGGGTGGATGATAAAAGGTTCTATGACCAAGGGTAGAAGGAGACATTTTACCTGGTAGTTCACTGGCCACATTTGTTTTAAGCATAGGTTTCCTCCAGAAACAGATTAATGCTGTTGAATAGATATCACACAGCTAATATTAATTGGTCACTGCAGAATATCTTTGATCCAAGCAGGTAAATACATGGAATGTAAACTGCCTATTCAAGGTACGTGTCTTGTCCTGCTTCTGGCCAGGACAGGGTTAATTTCTGCAGTAGCCAGGAGAGGCATGGCCAGGACCTGGAGGTTATTCTGTGCCACCTCCTGTCACTGCTGGGAGCAGGGGAAGGGTCCCTTCTGAGGCAGGGTCAGGTACTCTGAGGCTCCCACATGGTGTGAATCATTTGCCTTCTTTCTCACACCCTCTGCCACTACTATGGTGCTGTTACTGTTCATTTTCTAATCTCATCACTGCTTCCAGTAAATTGTTCTTATCTCAGCCCATGTCCTCCAGCTCTCCTCTCCATCCTGCTGCACAGGAGCAGTGCATGGTCTGGGAGTGTTTTGGTGGGAGCATCATTGCTGACCCACAGCTGTTGTGTACAAAGACACATGTAACAGCATCTTGGGAGCCACAGGGACAGCAGAATGATCAGGGCTGAAGAGAGAACTGAGGGTATTTAGAGCCACACTTGGGACAAATGCTGGGCTGGATCTGTCTCCTACAGTTTGGTAGTGCTCACAGAGAGCTGCCTGAAAGTGAAATGCCCAGGAATGGAGAAAGCTTCTTTGTTGCTCTCGAAGTCAGTCAAAAACTGTGTGGGAAAGCATTTTGAAATATCACTTCATTTGGCATTTGGTAGTGTTTGTGGAGACCCCCTTCCCTTTCCTCCTTTACAGAGACCATTTTATCTCTACTTGGATTGTGAACACTTTCCTACCCACCACGTAGGAAAGTGTTACTTCTTACTTTATTTACTTTAACCAACTGCTTTGTTGTGCTGTACAGAAAATGATGATTTTCTTTTTGATAGCTCCCTGGCACAGCTAGGGCATCACTGTAAGGAGTTGTCACCTGTGTGTGATTCCAAACCACCATCCCTAAAACAGGGATGAGGACAGAGAGATATGCACTGGGTATTGCCATGTGTGGAATGTGATTTCCACAGACACTTTTCTTTTAAGCTGTTGAATGTTGTTATGTGTGCAGTGACAAAGCTGCATGCAGGAGGTGCCTGAGCTACAGCTCTCTCCTGCTGTGTTGGGACACTTCCCACATTTCCTTACTGGAGCCTGTGGTAGCTTGGTGTTGTGCAGGAATTCCAACGGGGAACAGGTTTGGTTAAGAAGTTAAAGCTTGGTTTTTCAGGTACAGATAACAACATGAATTACAGTCAGTGTGGACAGATACTGTGCAAGGTGTGAGCTCAGTAAAAAACCTGCCTGGTCTCAGGCTGTAGTGGCTGAGGGCAGAGCTGTAGAGAACCAAACACTGCTAAAATGCACACACCTCAAGGAACTGCTTCAGGGAGCTTCTAAATTCCTCCAGGAAATCTCTGCATTAAATTCTAATTTGTATCTTAATCAAAAGCATGAACAGAGTGTGAAGGATTAATCCCAGTAAGTCTACTTCTCTTAGCAGTGAGCAACTGCTGTGAAATTTAGATTATATTCTGTCATATTTCCTTTGATATGGCTCAGGGAGAATCATCTGCAGAACATTTCACTCATTGGTTTGGGATCTCTTGTTGGCCAAGCTTAAAAGAAAAATACTTTTCTTTGAATTAGTGGAAGCTATTAGATAAAATGTTTGTCTAACACTATTACAAAAATATAAAGGTGATACTATTCCTTGAAGCCAAAGTCAAAGAAATAAACTTTTAAAATCTTTTGTATAATGAACTATTTAACAGAAATAAACATAAGAATTAAACATTATACATGTTTTCCAATTGGAAAAAACAATGCATATTTTGAGATGAAAAAGCTTGCAAATCTGTAAAACTTGTCAGGGGATCCAGCATGCTTTCTCTACTATTTTCGTTTTTAAAAATTCAGTTTTAAATCTGGGACTGCCCTGTATTTTGGAGGGAGAGGAGAAAGTGGAAAGAACAGTGTTGGGGAGGCTACCAGGCCACAGGCAAGAAAGACCTTCCTTTAATAACTAACCCAAGTACAACAATTTTGACTGGAAGGAAATTAACAAAGACTATGAATTCTTGGGCAAATTGCTAAAAACCTTCACATCAAATGCTAAGAGGACAAACTACAGAGTTTCTCCTGAGGAGACTCACTAGATTTCTCCATTTGCCAGTGTTACACTTCTTGGTGGAAGTTTCCACTATCAGTTTGTGCAATCTGATATTCCAGGTCATAGTGTCAGCTTGACTACTCCTAGGTTTGTTTGTTCTCTGGCAAATTCAAAAAAAATAGTAATACAAAATGCAAGTTTTGACATTGTTCATGTGCTAGCATGTACTCACATCCACAAGTACACCTTTCCATTTTTCTCACTCTGCTTTTAATGACTGCACACTCATCTTCTGTACACTTCCTCAGACAGGTTTCATTTTTAATAGTATTTAATTTTCCCAGTGACACATATATATGTTTGTACTAGATTTAGTTCCTCAAGGTTTCTTTCCTTGTTAATTCTCTTGTCATGTGGTTAAGCACAGTTCCAGGAATGTTTGTTAAAAAAAAACCAAAACCAAAACTGGAGGAGGAGGGATTTGGGCACCTCTGTTGTGCAGCCTGTTAAAAGCAAAGTCCTTATTTATCTGTATTGCAAATCAGACAGGTAGGAAAGAAGAGATGTGAAAAATGAAACTATAGAGATGTGAAAAATGTGTATTTTATGATTGGCTTTTCGTAAATATTAAAATGAATATTCTATGTGTTGTGTTAGAAAGTAATGCTATATTAATTCTCTTAAGTAGTGTGTTAAACATAGTTTTAGGTTATAAAAATGTTAAAATAGAAACTAAGCTATGTAGGATACTTTTTTTAAAGAAAGGACTCACAGTGAGGTAGCAGCCACAGGACACCCGAATATTTCAGAGAAAAAGAATTTATTGCCCTCTTATCAGAAATGAACTTCTTCCCACCTCGAAGGCGCTGTCAGGAGTCAGAAGAAGTTGTTGACACTGACCAGACAGAATCCTGTGTTTGAATGGAATTTATGCATCATGTATGAAGTGTATGAATATGCAACAGGCTGTTGTTTTTAAGGGTTAATCCTTTGTTCAGGGGTGTCCTTTTTCAGGCTCGTGCTGCCCAGAAAAAGGTACCCCAATGTCTGCAACTCTTTGTCTCTATTGTCTCATATTGTCCTAATTCAATTTGTCCAAATTATTATTACTCTAATTGTATCATTATTTTTATAACCATTTTATTACTATTAACTTCCAAAATTTTAAAAACAAGTGACTGGCATTTTTCTCAGAGACAATTTAGAGCATGCAGCAAGCATCATTTTGCTTTAAACTGCCTTTTTTAAACTCCAACCTCAAGTCACTTATGCTTGACTGAACCTTAGTCCAAGTCAATAGGCTGTAGACATTCACAACATTCAGTGTAGGGTTATCTGAGCAACAGGTTCTTGAATTAATTTTCTCTTTGTTGGTCCCCTTCTTACCAGATTTGTGAAAGAAAAGAGGCCAACCATTTCTCCCAACTTCAACTTCCTGGGCCAGCTTTTGGACTTCGAGAAGAAGCTCAAGAACCAGAGCGGCCAGCCAGGCCCCATCAGCAGCAAGCTGAAGCTGCTGCACTTGGAGAAGAGCAGCGAGCAGGTGCAGGTGCTGGAGGGCGGCCAGAGCAGCCTCTGCCTCTCGGCCGCCTCGGAGCTGCTGGAGCCCAAGCCCACGGACACCCGCGGGCACCCGGCGCCGCTGGAGGACGGCCCGCTGGTGCAGGGCATCAACGGGATGCACGTCTCCCTGGACAAGGTGGAGGACAGCAACCGCCTGAAGCGCTCCTTCTCCTTGGATATCAAATCCGTGTCCTACTCGGCGAGCAGCAGCTGCGTCACCGCATCGGTGCAGGGCTTCGCCTCCTCCGAGGACACGCTGGAGTACTACAAACACGCGGCTGCCCTGGAGGGGAGCGGCAAGCTGTGCCAGTTCTCCCCGGTGCAGGAGGTGGCGGAGCAGAGCCCCGAGAGCAGCCCCGACCAGGAGGAGGCGGCGCGGCCGCAGGAGGCCCCGGGCCCGTGGCCGCTGGACAGCGCGGCCTCCCGGCCCCACGCGGGCCGGCCCCTGCTGTACCCCCTGCACCGCAGCGGCAGCGTGGAGGACACCTACAGAACGAACTTCGTGTTCGGCCTCTCCACCAGCCAGCAGCACCTGGCCAAGTCCGCCGCGGGGCTGGGCCTCAAGGGCTGGCACTCGGACATCCTGGCCCCGCAGCCCTCGTCCCTCACCAACAGCTGGTATTTCGCCGCCGAGTCCTCCTCGCATTTCTACTCGGCCTCGGCGGTGTTCGGGGGCGGCGGCGCCTTCCCCGCCTACAGCTGCAGCCAGCTGCCCTCGGGCTGCGAGCAGCCCAGCGCCGTGCGCCGCCGGGCCCGCCAGGCCGACCGCGGCGACTCCCGGCGCAGCTGGCACGAGGAGAGCTCCTTCGAGAAGCAGTTCAAGCGCAGGAGCTGCCAGATGGAGTTCGGGGAGAGCATCCTGGCGGACAACAGGTCCAGAGAGGAACTGGGCAAAGTGGGCAGTCAGTCCAGCTTTTCAGGCAGCATGGAAATCATTGAAGTGTCCTGAGGGGCGGAGGCTCCTGTGACTGTGGCAGAGCTGCTCTCCCGGCGTGTGAGAGGTCCCTGTAAATCTGAAACTTTGGGTAGAAAGGTGCGGGGAGGGAAGAACCGGAGGCTTTGCTGGGAGCCAGGGAAAGGGTGGTACTGCAGGGAGACCAAGGTTGCTGCTGGGCTTTTCTCCTCTCCTCTCTGGGAGAAGGGCAGAACATTTCACAGACCTTTCCCTGGCAGAGGAAGCAATTCTGTGCAATGGATTGCCCGTCCTTTCAGTGGCTTTTAACAAGGAAGCTCTCCTGGTGTCAAACCCTTTCTCTGCTCCCACTGAACCACGCTCCTACCTGTCAGAACTAGTTGTGTTCTTCCCTCCCCGTGCCCCACGTCCTCACCAGTGCACCTTAGCCCTGACACTGAGCCAACCTCTGGAGGGAGACCTTTTTCCTGAAAGAAAAGGAGACTGGGAGCGATTCCAAAGGCCATAGGGACCGGTTACAGCAAGGCTGGTCTGAACACACCGTTCAGACAAATGTAAATACTGGTGTAACTATTGTTCTAATGAATAGGCTTTAGGTGATTCGCTAGAGAGCTGCTTCAGAGAAAAAAAAAAAAACCCCAGTACCTCAAAAATACATAAAATAAACTAGGGCTTTATGGCTGCCACATGCTGGTAGTGAGTTCATAAACAATGTGAACAAGTAATGACTGGCCACGTCTAATTTTTTTTTTTAAAGCTGTCCACGCACAAGTGTTTCAGTTGGCTCAGCAGCAATTAATCTTAAAAGATGAATGAACCATACTTAGGACTGTTTCCCCCAGTCTTTTGATAAAGTATTTGTATTTTTGATACTAAACTGGCTTCTGGGAGAGGGGTAGCTGCTTTGGCTTCTAAGCTATAAAGGAGTGGTTGATCCATAGAGCTACATGCAAGAGAAGTGGCTGGTACGAGTGGCCACAACACACTTTTCTTGCCCATTAACAATTCAGTTGCCGAAAAACAACTCAAATGTTTGGGGCTTTTTTTTAAGGTAAAAATGAGCTGTGGTGGGTTTTGTTCTTAACTGAGCAGTTCTAGGGTGGAACTGCAGATGCTCAAGGCTCTGCCACATCCTCCCCCTCAGCACCCAGGGCAGACACCCCCATCTCGAGGATGGAGGTTTCACATGAGACGAGGCACAGCCCTTCTCATGTTTTTAACAATGACCCAGCTGCTTCCCTTCTCACCCTGGCTGCTGCTCACCTTTGGCTCCATGTGCTCACTGCCATGAGGTTTATGGTCAGCTCAGCGAGGGATGGTACCGAGTCACTGTGTTCAGCTGCATCCTTCCTGCCCCCAGGGCCTTCCCAGCACCCTCAGAACACCTTGAGGAGAGGCTGTATTCTTTTGTCCCATTTCAGTGCAGGCAGCTGAAAACTGTAGTAACAAATAATTAGCCCTGGCCAACAGCTTTAAAAAAAAAATTGTCAGCAGCAAACTGAAGCCCTAATTCAAGTCAGCAGCTTGGGTTATGTTTGGGGTTTTTTTACTGTAAGTTTAGCTAGTTTGTGACTCAAATCTCAGGTTTTACTATATTGAAAAGTGGAGAAGATTTTTGTCATTGTTTTGTTTTCGTGGCTAGGATGTGACTTTAATTTCCTACAATGGACCGTTGAAAATAGCACTGAAAGCTACAGCATTGATTAACGTGATCCTAAAAAGTGCAAAAGGCACAGAGAGAGGAGGCACCAGGAGTCCCTGAGCCCAGAGGACTCTGCTCAGCTCTTTGTGCTGTGTGTGCAAGAGGCTGGGCAAGGGAGAGGCTGTCACCAGCCTGGCCACTGTGTCAGGTGCTGGCTGCTCACTGAACGTGCTGCCACTTGTCTCTGTTTACATCTGCAGTGGAAGTGATGACATCACAGCTATTTTCAGCTGTGTGAGTGTTTGCCTGTGTTAACAGCTGAGCAGGCTCCTCTCAGCCACATTTCAGGAAAAGGGGGTGGCTTTGATTTAAACCAGTTAATGGGAGTGAACACCTATCAATCCCTAGGGACAGAAACTGATTCTTCCTCCTCTGTGCTTCCTCAGACATGTATGTGCTCCCCTTCTTTGTGTGTTTGGGGTTGGTTTGGTTGATTGCCTTTTGAAGAACTGAAATCTGGTCTGAGGTGGCTCCTCATGATTCCCAGTGTGTTCTGGATAAATCCAAGGTGTAGGGCAGGTTCCCAGAGGAGGAAACCTTAACCCCATGTCCTGCACAGGGTGGTGCCCTGGCTCATACCTGAACAATACTGGAAATGGTTTGCAGAAGGCTGAAAAGCAAAGTGGAGGATGTGAGAGGGAAAAATGTGTACATATTCACAATGAATATAACATATGGCATTTGGTGTGTGGCATACCTGGCATGTTTGGTGTATGGCAAGCTGGTGAAATGGTTCAGAGAGATGTGAGTTTCTCATCTTGTTGTGTCATGAGCATTACATGTATGTTATGATGAAATAAAATCAGAAATGGTACCTGTTTATACAGAAGGCTGGGGAAGGAGTTGTGGAGTGTTTTACCTGCAGCAGGACCCGGAGAGCAGGAGCCTTGTCCTTTATGGGACGCCCCTTTCCCTGCAGGTGTGGTCATCAATGACAGGAGCAGCTTTAGAGCACTTCTCACAGGCAGCAGTGATTTTACAGCACCAGTAGCCATTTAGAGCTCTTACCTGTCCCTGATTATCCCCCTTCTTCTGCTCCACTGATGAGCAGCAGTGGCACTTGTGTGCATTAACACCCCCACTGTCTAATCCAGGTGTGAGTAACCTGTTCCTCAGGCAGCTGGGGTGCTCTTGGTGCAGCAACTATTTCAAATTGTTGAAGCTACCCAGAATGAACCCCATTCAAATTGTTGAAGCTACCCAGAATGAACTCCATGCTTTTTCTTGCCTCCCTCCCATACTACTTATTTGAAGAATAATTTAATTACTCGTTTAAATACTTGTTTTGACTGATGCTGTCAGTCTTGAAGAATTCAGAGCAAGTTCTGCTCACTGAGATTGGAGCACACCCCTCACTGCTGCTTCAGAGAATGGCTCACACAGATATAGCACAGATTAGAATTAAAGGAGGCTGCCACAGTACTATCCTTAGAGGAGAAAGCTGGGAGTTTATGTAACAGCAGCTTCAAACAGGGTGCAGTAACAAAGCCTTTTCTTTTGAGAATTTCAAAGCACAATCCCACAATGGGAAATGCAAAATCTTCAGCCTCTCTAAAAGAAACCAAACCAATAAGGAATAACCTGTGTGAGTTTCTGTGCTTATTTTCTACAAACAAGATCTAACAGCTCCTAGAGAACAAAACAAAAACTATGCAGATTCAAGGGCACCATCAGCTGCTGAGCCTACACAACAGGTTGACATGACAATCTTCTAAGATTTAGCTGCTCACCCCACTCTGAAGCCCACTTCTGACTGCAGTAGCTCTGTTCCCTCAAATTCTGTTTTTTGAAGCATTCACTTCAGCTTTCAGCACTCCTCCTGCCTGTTTTGCATCCCTGGCCCTGCCAGCAGCCAGCTCTGGGAAGAGACAATCTAACTCCACCTCCAGTAAAGACCCAAGGGGCAACTGCAATCTGCCTCATGCATGTCACCAACACTTCATTTTATTTCCCTGCCTGGCATTACTGGGAAGAGGTCCCCAAGGTCACCGGGCTCCTGATGTAACCATCACAATGGCATTCCCAGAATGAAGTGAACTGCAAACAGCAAACCTCCTCCCAGCAGGGATCAGGTTTGGGGAGGATAAGAGAGTAGAAATGTGGTAATCAGGTGCTCAATATGCTGTGATTCACAGCACAAGCTGTACTGACTTCTACCAGAAAGTGAGGGCATGAAAAGCCCAGAACAAGGGGAACAGCACTAGGGTTCTAATAAGAGTGTTACTTTTTAAATCCAAAATCACTGTGATTCAACCAAATTTACCTAGCCAGACATCTAACTTAAGCAGCCATACACCTAGTCTGTATTTGGTATTAATCTCTGATAGAAGTAGTTATTCTAGCAATTTTAGACAGCATAACATACACAATAACACACTTACACACACAAACCCACAACTGAGAATTCAGGTAGAACAGTCTTCCTAATCCATCAGCTTTGCCTGGCAACAGCACTTGCCCCTTTGAATGCTGCCTGCAAAGAACTTCTTGGCCCTCAGGTCCAAATGGTTGCTCTGAGGCAAACTGAAATGTTTCTGCAGTAAAGCCTTGAGCTAGTTCTGCACTTCCAAGAATATTAATAAGACTCACCATAAATAGAAAAGGAAAGGGAGCTATTTCTTGCCTTCTGTAACACCCACCCCTCTGGGAAGGGGCTGCTTTCCTGGCATGGAAAATGCTGCCAAACACTTCTGGAGAGTTGTCCTGCTGCAAGGGATTGCTCACTTTGAGGAGTGGATTTCAGCTGCCATCTCCAGGGATCCTCATCATGCTCCACTACTGTACAAAGCCAAAGTGTCACACTACAGGCAGCAATGAGACTGGGCCATCAGGCCATTAAAAAAAACAGAAGCAACACCAAAACAGCAGCAAAATTAAAAGAAACCCTGTACATGTGCCTCTCTATTCACCTGTGCAGGTGAGAGTTCATGACCATTCTGCTCTCCCAATGCCAAGTCCCAAGCATCACTGCTCACATCTACTCAAACTGGACATCACTGCCAACCAGAACTGGGACAGCATCAGGGGGAAAAAAAACCAACCAGCATTTATTTTCATTCTGGGGATATGCTTCCTTTCAATCCCATGGCAGAGGCAGCCCCAGGGCAGCTGAAATCAGCCACCTCCATGTCACAGAGTGGGTGCAAAGTAAAGCTGAGATCAGCCTGCACTGCCCAGACACCACGGTGGGAATGAAGAATGAGCAATAAGGCAACTGGAGAAACAACACGCTTGGAAAAGAGCCACACCAGAAGTTTTAATGCTGGAGCTGTGGAACATGGAGCATGTAGGAAGCTGAACAGGGTCACCACCCATAAACCATGGAGTGCTCAGCCACAAGGCTGGCAATCAAAATACCCCCTGGCACTTGGGAACAGGAGGGAAGTTACAGCAGCACCTGGGAACTACTGGCACACAGTCTGAGAGAGGGGCTGGCTCATGCACCCAATGGGCCTGTGAAAATGTATATTTCTACTGTGTAAAAGCTTGGAGGAGGGGAAAACACACTCTAAAATATTTAAGGATCTTTAAATATATTTAATTTAAAATACATATATTAAAAAAAGCAACAACAAAAACTCTTTTCTCTCCCCTTGAGCAGAACTTCACAGGAACTGCCCTGCAGGTAGGCTGGCACTTTAGCACCCTGTCAACGCATACAGTGACAAAAACAACGGAAACAACAAAGCAAACCTGCTCTGCATGGGCAGCACAGTGACCAGTGTGAGACACAAGGAGCACCAGCAGCAGCACAATGAGGGAGTTGCAACAGCAGAGTCAGGGAAGGGCCAGAGCAGCTCAGGGCAGAGGAGAACCCCAGCTCCAGTGACTCGTCCTGCTCCCCAGCTTTTCACAAGATCAGGTATCAAGAAGCTTAGCCTGTACCCAGAGCACACACCAGCAGAAAGCAGAAAAGGGCAGCAGTGTCTGGTTTCAGAGGAGCACACCAGATTATTCACTGTTCACAGCACTAAATTTGTGATAGAAGTAACAGCTGGTACATTCACCAGAGATACCTGAGGCCTCCTCCAAGAGCATTTGGCTTGGGAAAGAAAATTCAGAGGCAGAAAGGTGATTCCAGTCACATCTCCAAGCTCCTGCTAAACAGTGTGGGAGGGAGCCTCAGTCTTACCCTGAGCATCACTTGCATCTGAGCTGAAGCTGAGAGCAGCATGTGGAGCAAAGCCAACAGGGAGCAGCCAAGCAACAAACAGCAGCTCAAGAACTCGTGGCAGGACACATCTCCCCCTCAGCAAGAGGGCCAAAGACTTGTAGTTCCTGAAGGCAGTCACAATATTTTAAATAAAACTGTAAACCATCGTTCAAGGGCATTTACAGGGTGCACGCTTCTTACAGTACCCATAGGAGAGACTATCACCTGTGGAATGAAGGTAGTGGCATCTGAGCATTGGAAAAGGTTGGCCTTCACATTTCAGCTCTAATTTCTTCCTAGTTCAGTTATTACACCTTCCATAACCTGCCCTTGCTGTTCCAGAATCTCTGTGTGTGAGGCCCAGCAGCACAGCCACAAGTTTAAAGAGCACTGTTCCTACAAAGGTTTTCTCCATTCCCAGCCCAGTGCCTTGGTGTTTTCTGGCAAATGAGGAAGGAACTTATTCGAAGTGCTCACCCCTGCAGCCTTCAGCTGGGAGTGCTATTGCTTTGCCCTCATTAGCACTGCAGGGAGCAGTGCTTTGATCTGATCTTCATGGCCTGAGGCCAAATGTCCACCAGCCTCAGAGAAGTCTTACAGGAGAGAGCATCTGCCTTGACATCCAGAATCAGGACCTTCCCACTGGCACAGGCTTCCAGCACACCAGGGTGTGGGACACTCCTGATCCCGTCTGGCAGACAGCTGAATGTCACACATTTTAAACATCCAGACAGCATCATCTGGACAAAGAGGACAAAAATGGCTGCAGCCACTATTTAAAGCAGCTCAATATTCTTGTGTCTCACGGTGGGAGGCAGAGACACATTCCATGATGGACAAGAAGACCCACAAGGGCATGGCCATGACAAGCAGCTTTTCCTTGGTTAGGTCTCATGTAAGCTTTTAACAATCCAAGTGTAAAACGTGGCAGGAAGCTTGAACAAGGATGGAATTCTGATGTTTTACACAGCATATGCCTATGTACCAACAACTGTGTAAAACCTCTGGGGTGGGAGCAGCAGGCAAGAAAACCTGCTGCCTTTGCTAAAAACCCTCCTGCTGAGTTCCCTGCCCTCCCTGAAGCAGTCAGTCCCACTTCCCAGGGCATCATTCTAGGGGGCTGCACCTCTACAGGACTCTGCATTTAGACAGTGTTCAGCAGGCCCTGGGATGCAGCCACCACCATGGTTCAGATGCACATCTAAGCTGGCTGCAGTCTGCATGACAAAAATTCACACTACATGATCTCTGGGAATGCAACAAGAGAACAGCCTGTTGCTTCTTGCCAGCAGACAATAATTATTACAGTCAAAAACCTACTTCACTCTTACGTCCAAATGTTCAGAGACAACCTTTTGCTTAATAAATGCTCTTAAGTATTAAGACATATTGAAACAAGTTGCCTTTGGCAAGTGCCCCTACCTTGTGCTGTATTGGAAGCTGGGCTGTCCCTGTCTGTCCTCACTGCTGGAACTGCACCCCTGACACACAGCAACCCTTGGGGTTCATGGGCTCTCCAGCCTTGGCTTGCCTGGCAGGAGGCAAGAACATCCCACTGCCTTGCGAGCAGGCAGCTGAGGAGGGCTCCATGGCTTCAGTTGTTCAGCATTGTGCCACCACCAGCTCCTGGCACAAGGGCAGCTAAACCAACACAAAGAGCCAGAGGACTTCTCATGTGTCTCCCCTCCACCTTCATGCACTTGAAGAAGCAGCTGCACCCCACTGGTAAAAAAGACAGCACCAAGATAACTCAAGTGTCCCAACAAAAAAAGACACCTTGTGTGCAACTTTGAGATGCAAAGTGAGCAGGTTGTACCGGTGCCTGTCAGAGGGACACAAAATGCCACCAGTTGGGGAATGGGGACATTGCCAGGGCAAGGGGGAGAGGAACACTAAGGTCTGCTTTACATTAACAGACATACATATCTAGAACACTTACTCCTTTACAGCCTCATAAATTAGTGAGCCCATAGGAACAGGAGCCTCAAGGACATGCCAAAACCCTGCAGTGCAAACCACATTAATTATGATAATGGCCAGATTTTAGTAAGCCAGTTCCTGGCTCCCACACTTTCACCTATAAAACACACACATTTCCAAGGCCAGTGGATCTTCCAGCCATCTAATTGTCTAAACCCCAATGGCACAAAAAACATGTTAGAGGGTTCATCACACCCTATATCCCTTTGAATTTTTTTAGTAAAAAAATTAAATCAGATAAAAGGAAATTCCTCCTCTGTAAACCTCAACTAGTCACAGCAATGAAACAAATGTGTCTGCACAGGCGGCGTAGTGGCAGAGGAGACAGGAGGGCAAGAGGAGGGAGCTGAGAGCAGTAAATCCTCTCCTCCTGGAGCTCCTGCATTCCTGGCTGTGCGGCTCGGGCAGCGCCGCCGCTCTCCCTGCGCTGCCCGGCACAGAGCCCCAGCAGCGCTGCCCGCTCCCGGTGCACCGGCTGGGAGCGCCTCCACGGAGCGAGGACGGTGAGGAGGGGGCGCTGCCGCAGCGCTACGAGCGCAGCTCCCGCTCGGCTTTCATGGAGAAGGGCTCCAGGCGCTCCCCCTCCGGCAGGAGGCTGTTGAGCCGCTCCATCAGCGGCACCGTCTGGTCGATGCCCATCTGGATGCGCCGCAGGATGGCCGACATCTCGTTGACCTTCTGGATCTGCTCCGCGTACTTGGCGTACTTCTTCTGGCGCTCCTGCATGAGGCTGTACAGAGTCTCCACGGACAGGTCCATCTGGGGAAAAACAAGGAGCACAGCAAGGCTCATGAGGCCAACTGTTGTCACAGAGCTTTCAGCACACTGCCCTTCCCAAAAGCAACCACCTTGGAGGCTCCACTGACAGGAGGTAACAGGTACATAACCAGTCTGTCATGGAATGGGATGATTCATAGTTGTCTACCAGGAAAGACATATGATGACCTCAGTTCTCCACCCAAATACCTAAATATCTACATTCTTCATTTGCAGGACTCAAAGCCAGCAAGCGCTACTGAGGTTTTCCCAATAAACCAACAAACACATCCTCCAAGTTATCCAGACCCAAGGGACCCATGGCCTCCTCCTACACCTGAACTATATTTTCACTGGAGATCCTTCATTTGCAAGCATTAAGCTCTACCACAGTTGCCAGTGCTAATTTTTCTCAGTTTAGCCAGGTTACTCTGCAAGCAAAGCCACAGCTGTTATTGCCATCATCTGGAAAAACTCCTGCCTTGAGAGAACCACAATGGATTGCTAGTGTCCCTAATTTCCCTGAAACCCAAAAATAAGAGTGTTATAAGTGACCCCAGGAGAGACATTAGGTAAATTAGCCATGCGATTAAACACAGTCAGTACCCAACCATGGCTTGAGCATGATGACAATGACAGGAACTGCAGTGCTGTTCCTGCCATTGAGTGGTGAAGGCAGCCTTTATAATTCACAGCCCATTCTTCTGTCCAGCCAGACCTGCAATCTCCAGGCAGGATTCAGCCAGTACCTTACACACAAGCCCAGTGAGATGGTTTAAGCTGTAAACCATGCTAAGATACATATCCTTTACATACCCTAAGACATGCACCACATGTTCCAAGAGCTCAGTAACAGGGCTGTTCCAAGCCCTCAGTTCACACTCCAAGCTCGGTTACTTTGGCTCACTGCAGCTGTGCTTAACAACCCCAGTGACTCCAGTGTCACTTCCAGCTGGGATGTCTTTGTGGAAAGCAGCCCCCTGGCTTGGCACTCAGTACAAGCCCACAGTGGCAGGAGAGGACACACACTGAGCAGCTTTAGCCCACTGCCACCACTATTTTCCCAAACCTTTCCCATCTAATTACCCCCAGAGGAAAGAGGTCACTGCTCACAATGAAGCAGCCTCAGGGAATCAATGCTGAGAATTCCTAGTCTACCAAGAAGCACAGGTTCAAACAACATCCCTCTCCTGAACTGTGTGACAGAATCAACCCATCTGATGGAGGACAGTGACTGTACCTGTTGTCATTATAGTACAAAGGTTCTGTTGTCATTTCATTGCAAAGGTTCCATATTGCCAGAGTTTTGACCTCCTTGATGTTTCTTATAGGCAGCTCTTCTAAGCACTGACTATTCCTTGTCCCCACAGCAGCCAACTGATTCCAGTTCCCACCAATCCACTCTTTTAATTGGCTACAGGTGTAGCCTGTTAACATCAGGCCTGCTCCTAATCTTTAGTAATTGGTTCAACTGCAACTCTTTAGGGGATAAGATCACATTCTATACCACCTTCACTTACCCACACTGTATCCCCCTACATGTACCTGTCACCCAGGACAGCACACATTTATCAGTGCAGTGCTAAGAAAACACAAGGTGCTGACCTGACCTGACTAACACAGCACTGAGCAGGTGCAATCCTGACCCCCTGTCCAGTGCTCTGGGTCTGAAGGGGAGAACCTGCAACAAGGGAGGACTGGGTGGAAGTGGTACAACACTGGAAGGCCCCACTGAGGAGGGAGGGCAGCAGAGAGAATTCTGCCATCCCACTGGTGGCAGCAGGGTTTGGCACTGGGGATAAACTGCTGCAGCTGGATGTGCTCACAAATGTCCCTTTCAAGCCCTGGGGAAGAGGTCAAGTGAAAAACAGTCAGGCAAGAAAATATTTTATTGAGAAACCTAAGTTACAAACAGCATTGAAAACAAACACACAAGTTTCTGCTGAACTGTCATGGGATTAGGGGGCATTTTCCCCCATCCCCTCCATCAGAGCTGCATACAATACCAACTGACCCTTTATTTTGCCTACACTTTCTACTGCTCCCAGGCTGAATTCCTCCTCTTTGCCTCTGTGCTTTCCTGTGAATTCCCTCCTCCGTGCCTTCATGCACGGGACAAAATAAAAACCAGCAGAGCAGGAAACTCCAAATAGAGTGGAAACAATTTAAGCCTACACAGGGGTTTCTATTAAAACCCCAGCTTAATAATTTAGTAGCTTGGCACTAGCTCTGTAAAGAGCAGTGTGTAAAAAGCAGACCACCACCAACCAGTGAGTTCAATCCAGTGCCTAAAAACATCCAACCTAATGAGAGACAGTGGCCTGGAGGGGCAGCCAGTGGGAAAGCTGCCAAAAGCCAGCATGCCTCATTAAATGGACCAGCACAGGGACCCAGGCAGAATCCTCCTCTGGTTCTGAAGTTCTCCTCCACTGGCAGGTTCTCCACGTGGCCTCACAGCACTGTACAAGAAGCAAAGCTGGCACCTACCAAGCTTCCAAGCAAAAAACACCCAAGGCCCCCCTTTCTCTCCATTCCAATAATTTCCATCTGCTGACTTTATGCTCCTTGTGTAAGTATGAGTAACATCCACTTACTGATGGGGAACAAGGGGAGAAGCTGATACTGACCTGCAGTAGGAAGAAGAAATGCAAAGTGGCCTCCAAGCACTTTGGACACATTCACAAGAGCCATAAAAAAGCTGCCTCACAAGAAAGAGAAAGGGTGGAAGTGAGTGTTTCCTTACACCTACATCCAAGATTGCCTGCTGAGGGAGGCCACAGCAGCTGCACAGCCTGAGACACAACAGGGAGAACTGAAATGGAGCAATTGTGAGGAAAGGTCAATTTTTACTCATTCTGAACCTGGTCTTTTTAACTATTAAAAAAAAGGAAACTGCATGTTAATTCCTGGAGATAAATGCCAATGTTTCTCTCAGCTTTCCTTGAAGCAGGCCTAAGTACACACTCACATCCTTCCTACCTCCTCCTCCTCCAAGGGAGCTCCTCCAGTGCCACTCCTTGTGCTTTTATCTCTCCTGGCATGCAGTCCCATTCCTCTGGCACTCAGAGGGGGATTTCAGGTTCTGAGGGTCAGCCCTGTTTACCCCCCACAGGGACTAACACTGGCTTGCAGGAATCCATAATGAGCAGGGAAGAATGCACCTCATTCCTATCTATTTCATTCCATACCTCATACAGGAGCAATAAAAAGCACCTGGAAAAGGGGAGCTGAAGGAGTCTGGTCCCTTGCCTACAGCCAAGGCAGTCCAAGACACCCTCAAGGGTCAGTGAGTGAAGTCGCCTCCTCTGAACAGTTCCCATCAACTCCCACGTCCCTGCCACAAAGCCCTGCCACATTCTCATCTGGAAAACATTCAACTCTCAGCCTTCTTGCCCATCCCAGACTGTGAAGCTCTCTAGGAAGCCCAGCAAGACACCCCAGAGCCAGCAGTTCTTCACTGTCCCAAAACCATCTGAGAGTGTTTATTTGAGCCATTGTTTCTGCTCTGGTTGCTCCAAGCTTCCTACCATGCCAGGCCACCAGAGCTGCAGACAACTGAATCCTACTGCCCTGAACCCATCAGATGTGACAGATGTGAAGCTGCAGCATTGTCACCAGCCCCTGACAACCAATCTGTCCTTCAAACATCACCACTCAGTAAGCTACAAACATCCCCAGCTTAGTGGTGTACGAGCTTCTGGAGAGTTCAAAGACTGAAGCCTGTTAAGAAGCAACAGAACAAAGCAGAGGGCAGAGCCCAGCCTGTGATGTCAGAGTCCTAATTTTCATCAAAGCAAGAGGTTCTGCCCCACATGGAGTTGAGATAAAAAGATGTGTTCTCAATGAAGGCGTGAGAGCTCCTAATGCAAATGTTATTTCTTTCCAAAAATCATTCCTCCTGTCAAAGCAGTAAACCTGAGGCTGGACATGCCCAGAGCAGAAGAGAGGATCTTTCTGCCCTTCCTACATCAAAAAAGATGGAGGTGTTTCTTCAGTTTTCTTTCAGAAGCACAGGTCCATAAAAATGGACAAGCCTAAAACTCACCCTCCAGCATGACACACTGTTTTTGTACAGCCAATTCCATTCAGAATTTGTGTCTGTTTCTGTTTCAAAGCTCATGCCTCCTCTGTGGATTATCATCAGCAGGACACTAATTTGTGCCTCAGCTTCACATTTAAACATGAAATGACATCTACTGGGCTTTTCTTTCATCAAATGAAACCAGATTAATAATTACTTCCAACAACACTGCAAGATGGATATTTCCTCACTTAAAAGGGCCCCAGCACAGTCCCTCCTACTACACCATTCACATTGTCAGCCCTGAGTCCCCTCTGCATTACACAGGCCCATTTGTAACACCAGACTGATGAAACACAAAAACAACTGAGGATACTGTCAGACATCTTGCACACCATAAATTCTTGCATTCATTTAAAAATTCTTCTTGGCCCACACTGCCAAGCAGAATAAAGACATTAATTTAGCCCACAAAAAGACTGAGGTCAGCACTGGCCAATGCCCAATTCTTTTCAAGAGACCACACTGAAAACAAACCAGTGCCCATATATATAATATATAAACACACAGACACACACAGACACACATATATATATATATACATACACACACACACTTCTTACCTGGCATGGTTTTATAGTACCCCTGTACCTTAGGACACACATGAGTGTCCTAAGCTCTCAGAAACAGAGGTCATATCTTGTTAGTTCAATGACTGAGAGACTGAAAACTGCAGCTAGACACATTTTCCCTGGTTGCAGAACATGCAAATACAATCAAAAGTTCATTAAACTTGGAATCAAATTTCTAGAGAGGCACTGCTGACATTCCTAACAAAACAAATACGTCTCTTAAGAGGATGTTCGGACATTCCCAGCTTCTCCAGTCCCTCCTAAAATACCCAAAAGTCAAGATGATGTTCTTGTTTCCCCTCACATTTAGTAACAGCCTTCAAGAGCTCATCCAGACATTCATGTGTCCT